ATATTTTCCCCTCAAGATAAGAATTAAATCCAGTCTCTCAGGGGATAAGCTAAGTAAATCTTTTTTCTTTGTTCTCTCTTTAGTCATCACAGGAAGTAGTCTTTCCAGAATATATTGTATTTGCCAGCTCCTCACTGACTCTTTATAAAGTTCCCTTACACCAAAAATAAAACCTCCACACTCCCCCTCACTCCATAGGAAGAAGTACCTCACATCAAGACATTTTTCAACTGTCATGCAAAGTATTATTCCCATAACATTTCATTTGATTCTTAATGATATAGTAACAATATCTGTAGTTTCTGTGGGAAAGTCAAATGAAACAAATGTTAGTTTCATATCCTCTACCTTTCCCAATGTATCTGTCCCCACATTCCCTATCCTAGAAATCCATCATTCATGAAAATTAATTTAAAAAAATAGGAGAGAAAATCTGGTTTAGCAAAACTAACTAACATATTGAAAAATTTTGACATAATATATGCTTCATATCCATAGACCCCTACCTCTGTAAAGAATTGATAGTAAGGTAGAAGGGAAGAGGTACCTTCTTATTTCTCTTATTTGAGGTCAAGCTAAGAAATTCTAATTTCTCAACATTCCATTCTGATTGTTTTATTGTTATATTTTCTATTTACATTATTATAGTCATTATTGTATATTGTTTTCCTGATTTTGCTTATTTCACTTTGAATTAGTTCACAAAAGTCTTCCAATGATGCCCTATATTCATCATGTTTATTTTTCCTCATAGAAAGGTAATATTATATTGTGATCATGTGACACAATTTGTTTAGCCATTCACCAATCAATGGGCATATAATTTGTTTCCAGTTCTTCCTATTAGAAAAAGGTACAGATAATGTTTTACTGTTTGATTGCCTTTCTTGTTATTTATGGTTTTAATATCATCTGATTTCCTAATGCCTGGCAGATGCCTTTCTGAGCAAGGCTTGCCTTCTGCCTTGATTTATGTCCAGGTAGAAGAGGAAAGCCTTAACCTTCACCAATTATAGAGAAAAGCAGCATGGTTGGGAAAGATCATGATGCTCTCCCTAAGTATTCACCAAAGTTTTGCTCAGTCCCTTCATCCAGATCATATGCTAGCCCTCTAGTCGATATGTTTAAACCACCAAGCAACCATCACAAACACTTCAAAAAGGTTTCAGAGGATCCCAGCTTACAATTATCTATTTTTTTTTAGTGAGGCAATTGGGGTTAAATGACTTGCCCAGAGTCACACAGCTAGGAAGTATTATGTATCTGAGGCCAGATTTGAACTCAGGTCCTCCTGAATCCAGGGCCAGTGCTCTATCCACTGCTCTACCTAGCTGCCCCTACAATTATCTATTTCTGTGGCAGTGGGTTCAAACATGATTAAAAGGCAGAAAGTAAAAACAATCTTTCCACATACTGCTGAAAGTCACCAAATATTACTTAACATTGCACAGGGAGATATTATCACTTTGCTTATCTCTGAGGAAAATGATGACTGGTTTTATCGAGAACATGATGAAACTAAAGTGAAGAGTTGGTCTCCATCATTGTATATGAAGTTACTAGAAGAAAATGAAGAAGAAACATTAAATATGCCGGTTCCATGCCCTGTACCCATTAAAAGCATCAGTAGAGTGTATTTATCAGTTAAAAAAAAAGTAGGATTATCATCCTGCCCCCAGATTATCTGGCATATTTGTCTGGAGGATTTCCTACAGACAAAAGAGTAGATGTTTTTTGAAAAGTTTGACATTAAACCATCAGGGCCCAAATCTTCTAAGTTAGATACAGATGTAACAAAAAGTCTTCTTTTCAAAAGGGAGAAAATCCTTTCTCTACTGTGAAGCTGACCAACAGTGACAAATGATAGATCGGTACCAAAAACTGATTGAATAAAAGTCAAAAAAGTAATGCCCAGTATTCTTTCCCTGTGTAAACCACAGGTTCACTATTATGATTATCTTGCTTAACATCTGCTGTCATTGTACAGGAATGAAACATTGCAAAAGTTTTCCAATTTTCAATGGATCTGTCTCTGTAAAACTGAGGGAATTATAACTGCCAATTTATAAGATTTGAGAGTGAGTTTAAAGAAACTGACATAATATATTTTAATATACATCATAATTAATAATAAACATTTTCTTCCTCTTCTGTTTAGAAAACCAATAGACTATTCCATTGTTTCTCTTTAGGGGATGGCAGAGTCCCATATTTTTAAAAATATGACATTTTATAGAAATGAGATACTGAATAAGGTATTGATTTTGCTTTTATGTTCTAACTCACTGTATTGAAATGCAAAATGATTATTTTGTTTTAAGACTAAGTATGTATTGTTCTAAATAAGCAACAGAACTGTAGTATTCAATGGTTTTACATCATGCATAAATCATAAATCACTTATATTGTTTTAGATTATCAAGGTACCATTTCTAATTGTAAAGTCAAATTTTTGGTTTTTTAAATCAAGGCATATAAACTCCAAATGTGGAACTGTGACAGGGAATGCACTTCCCATCCCAATCCGGTTATTTCAAAGTTAGGAGAAATCATCCACATCACATGTAATTTTTAGAACTTTGCTTCCTAAAAATGACACATAAACTATTGAATTTTGGTTTGTACTCCAAATTAACAAATAAAACTTCAAGATTAAGAAAAAACTTTGGAAAACTGATACTTTTAATGGCCCTAATTGGCTCCCTGAAACAAAGAGTCATTACCTTCAACACACACACACCCCAATAGTCTTCCAGTGATGTAATATGGCTGTGTCATGGAATGTCACAATCTTTGAATGTTTAAAGTTGAGGGTCATTCATAGAAGAACATGAGAGGAACATGATGACATTGAGCAGGTTGCAACCCATCACTAAGCAAGAACTGTACAAGAGAAGTATCATAAAAGATATCATTAGGGAGATGTGTGACCGGAAGCAAAAGTGATCCAATAATGTGTTGAGAGCAAGAAATACCTGATGGAAGAAGTGGCATGCCCCATTGGTATTCACACTATGTCAAGAGATCTAAGGCACTCAGCACTTCTGGTGAACTCTTCATGGAAGACTTATGGGGGGACATGAACAAGAATCATCTAGGATGAGGGGGGATAGATGAGTTGTGATCTTATCACTGAAGGACCCACATCAGTGATCATCCAGGAGAATGTAAGCTCCTTGAAGACAAGGGCAATTTTTTGGGTTTTGTCTGTGTAGCTGTAGTGCCTAGCTTAGTGCTTTGCCCCTAACAGGCACTTAGTAGGTGTTTGTTGAATTGAATTGAATCAAATTAACCACCTTCTCCAAACTTTCCAGGTTTTTATCCAGTGTAAAATCCTGACCCTAGGTGCCAGGACAAAGATTATCTCTCTCTGTTGAAGAATCTTTTCCAACAAGTACTTAATGATTCTCAGTCTTTGCGCAATTCCTCTCCCACCTTTCAATACGATGCGCTTGCAGATATACACAATGCCAACAGATATTCTTTCTCTTCCTAACACCTCACCTCAATGGTCATATCCAGGAAGCCTTCTCTGATTAACATTATCTTCCCGAAGTTTATGTACTATATTTCATTTGCACTTTAAAAATTTGCTCTGGCTCATTATGGCCCCATCCTAAGGTTTCAGGAAAAATCTCTATAACAAGACTTGTCCCTTTTAGAAAAGGTTCTCAGTATTTAAAATATTGATCACATATAATAGACCTATTTACTTCATCTGTCACAAAAAGAACACCTAAAACATAAAAAACTCAGAACCGGTTCTCCATTATATTTAACACATAAAACAATACACACAATGCCAATTATACTCTTCAGAGAAGTAAAGACAATTTTGCAGTGGTATGGAGCAATATATAATATTCACCTCAAATCTGATCCTAGTCCTTTCACCTACAAAATTCTCATGGTAGTGGTGTTTCTTCTCCACTGAGAAGCATTATAGTTGTAGGAATTGCCTCCTGTTGGGTAGTCAGGTAATTTCTCTCTCCTCTTGGTGGAAGTCCATGGGATAGGTTCTCTGAGTCTCAAGCAATATACTAAAAAGAGGGAAAGGTGTATAGCCCTTATACTATAGCTTTCTGTAGCCCTTATAGCCTTCTCAGAGGACAGCTCCTGGCTCATCTGGCAACCATCTTTGTCATAACATCCCCAGCCATGGGGATCAAGGGGCCACCCAGGATTGCATGTCCTTTATAAAAGGGCCAGAATGTGTCTCACTGGGAAGGGGCAGAAGCAATGCCTAGATCCATGGGAAATGCCCCAGTATAATCCTTCTTAGATACTTATTTACATATTACTCTGTACGTTTCCTTAAATCATTTAGGATGAATGTTCATGATCCCTAACCTGACTGTAGCTACAGCAGAGACTTGGACTTCTATTTCTTAGTACAGTATATTTAGTTTATATTTTTCCATGTCTATTGTCATAGTTTGTCCACATTTGAAGTTCTCTCTTTAACCTTTATTTTTCTTCTCTGGAGAAGTGTATGCTATGGAAAGGGGGGGGGAGCTGAGTTGAAGAGGATCATGTAATGTGAACATGTGATACAGTTATGACCCATGGGTTCATTCAACCTCTGATCTTTAACATCCCACAGGACCCTGATCTCTGATCTCTGATTTCCAAGAGAATCCTGGTTTCGGATGTCTCCTAGTCCAGGGCTGACTTTTCCCAGGATGCTTCCCTCTCTTTAAATCTATAGCCCTGTCCTCACTTCCAGGAAAAGATATGGTGCCCACTGAGCCACTATAGTTAGACATTGACCCTAGAATGGCAGGTGGCAAACAAACAGATTAAGGTGTAGGGAGAAGGGAAGAGGAGGGAGGGGAAATGTTAGGAGAAGGTCCAGGGGGTCTCTCTTCCAAGGTGTTTCTCAGGTTTAGAAGAATGCTGGGGTTTGAAGGGAAAAGTTGCCCAGAGGGAGGTACACAAGGCTAGGGGAAGCTGATTAATCATCAGTGGAGCTCTGATAAGCCTCTGCCAGCTGGACATAGGATCAACATAGGCAGAGATGAAAGGTTTTGTGAAGCCAGAGGATCAGTCAAGACAGTGTGGCTGAAGCTTGAGACCATACCTGGGACAAAACGACTTCAACATGTGATCGAGACCCCCTGAGCCAGGCAAATGGGAGGTGAAAGCCCTTCTCTGTATTTACATCCTTCCCCAAAACCCCTCCCTTGGGTTAGCTTCTGTTGCTCTTCATCCTTTGTCCTATTCCTCCCATTCTATTTTTACTCCCTTATCCATTCTAGTTCTTCTTCACTCCCTTCTTTCCCCAGTGGGATAAGGATACCAAAAAGGGATCTAGTGCTTGAGTCTGTGTATGTCCATCCCCTGTATACCCTTGTGCCTGCCAATACTCCTCAACTAAATGGGCATGGCATGGGACCATGGGTATGTTCTCCAATTCCTGAAAGCCCAGGTTGGTGCCACTTTATATTAGAGGCCTTACCTGATTCTCTCAGGTATTGATTGTAATGTATTGAAGCCTCTCCCCCTGAATTCACTTTATTTGTATATGTACTGTATTTACTTATCATGAACATATGGTTTCCTACCCAGTAGAAAGTAAGTTCCTTGAGGGCAGGGATTGTCTTACTTTTGTGTTTCTACCCTAGCTCCTATGCCTGGCACCTAGTGATAAATTCCTGTTGTTGATTGTGTCTCCCTTTTAGTTGTCTGGGTTTGAAGCATCCTTGCCGGTTACAGAAAAGTCGAATTCTCTGACCCAGGATTTAGATAAGGCAAGTGCTGAACAAATTGTACAGCTCCTGGGGCAGTGTGATGCTGAGATCTTCCAGAAGGAAGGACAAATAGCGCCTGTCTACCAGGTAACTTCTCAACAGCCTTACATATGTCAGATCTGTATACTCCAGAGCTAATCTCTGCCTTGACACCTCTTTCCCCCTATTCTTGACAACGGTCTCTGCCCCTGGATCCCAGTCCCCAATCCTTCAAATCCAGGAATAACAACATGAGGGAACTTTGGCCTGGGCCCTCTTCTCTGGATCTCACCTCAATTTGGTCTCTGACAGCGGCTCTACAGTGAATCAGTCTTAACAACTGTGGTCCATGTGGCTGGAAAAGTTCAGGAAGTACTAAAGGTACTAATACTTATCAATCCCTCTGTCTAAATAATCTAATATCTCCAGGTCCCCATATCTTCTGTTGTCCTATCCCTTTCTCTCTTTTCCTCTCTTACCTTTTCTAATCCAGATGAATATTATATTTTTCCTTCTCCCCCTCCTTTTCTACCACCTGTCATTATGTTCTCCTATTTTGCTTAGCTCCACCTCATGAAACCTTGGCTCTACTTTCAGGACTTCCTAACTTCAATCCTTGACCCTCCAATTTACTCTTTTTTTTCCCTTCAGTCTAGGCTTGTGTTGTCATGGGTATAAGGAAACAATAACCAGAGGAGTCTATGGTCCTCCTCTACAGGGCCTGTCTCTTCTTAACATAACTCAAGTATGCTTAAGGTTTAAACTGCACTTAATTCTATTTAAAACTGGTTTCTGAAATTCCAGTAGACTTATTGATGCTGCAAAGTTACCATCCCACTTTCCTCATCCTGAGTAAGCCCTCCTGGTTGATTTTTAGAACCCCTCTCCTCTTTTGCTACTGTTCCATGCTCCCTGATCCTATCACTACAGCATTGCATGGCATGACAGCTGACAGCAGACTGCTATGCAAACCTGGGCATCCAGCCACTCAATGCCTTTGAATACAAGCAAAGAGCATGTCCTACTACTTGTTCTGAGGTGGTAAGGGAGACCCCATGTGACTATTCTTGATTGAATTATCATTCCCTCCTCTGCTTGGTGGTATCAAAAACCATTCTAACCCATTCCAGGGCCATTGTTTACCGCTGCCCTAAATTCCACCCTCATGACAGAGAGGCAGGCTGTGTACTGGAAAAATGTGTGTTCTGAGGACTTGGCTGGTTTAAATCATGCCTCTGCCAGTGATCACCTGTATGACCCCAATTGGGCAGCATCATTAACCTTTCTGGACCTCAGTTACCTCATCTGCAAAATGAGGAGTTGGACTAATTGGTCCAAAGAACTAGTGTGGAAATTTTCTCCATCAATGCAGATTTAGCAAGTCATTTGTAACTGATAGTTGTAGAGCTTTGCTGGGGAGGGAAGTGGATTGAGAAGTAGCTTGTTCATGGTCACACAGCTAGTATGTGTAGCATAACTCAAGTTTTCCTGACTCCAAGGTCAACCCTTTGTGCTCTATACCCTACTGCTTCTCATTTGTATTTCTCATTTATATATAGGGATGAGAGGAGAGGCAAAGGGTTCTTCTCTTTACTAACAAAGGGAGGGATGTCCATTTCCTCTTTTAAACCAGATCTTGCTAATAGTTATGGGTATATTACTTCTTAGGATCCTGAAGGGGGGCTTATTGTTCTAAGTGGAGGGGGAACTTCAGGCCGGATGGCGTTTCTTATATCGGTGAGTGCTCTGATCCCAATGATGCCGCTGACTCCATATCCACTGTCACTGCCCAGAGCCTAGAAGCCCACCTTATCTGAACCCCCAAGAACCATCATCCTGATCATGGTTCCTGCCCAGTTCCCCTCCCCCAACCTCTATCTTCCATGGTATTCAGTTTTCTTTGATCGCATCCTAGACATCTGCTAACACTCTAGCTATCTTATTTTTCCAATTTACCCTATGAAAAAGCATTTAATTGTGTAAGTCCTTGTGAGGCTGAGTTAAGTCTCATACAAAAAGAATTACCCAGTGTCTAAGATCTCTAAGAGTTAAAATTCAAGACAATTTTCTTTTCTTCACTATTATTATTTTCTTACATCCTTTTCCCCTGACAGGTTTCCTTTAACCAACTAATGAAAGGCTTGGGACAGAAACCTCTCTATACCTACCTCCTTGCAGGGGGTGACAGGTAAGGGGACTTATGGCCTTTGTAGGGTTCTCAACCTATCCTTCCTGTACTATAGGCTTTTTATGTCCTAGGAGGACCACTGACCATGAGTTTGTCCTCTTAGGTCTGTGGTGGCCTCTAGGGAGGGAACTGAAGACAGTGCCTCCCATGGGACTGAGGAACTGAAGGTTAGAGACAGCTAACCTCAGACCCCTTAGATGGACAAAAGCTCTTGACTGTTTCCAGTTGATCCCTCATCACCTTCCCTAGTTTGTGTCCCTTCTCCCAGAAGGATCTTGTGCCCTGTGAACCTCCAAGATCCTCCTTATCCAAGGCAGGGTTCTCCTCCAAGTGCCCCAGAGCCCAAGAGCCCCTCTGTCTCTTCTAGGTTGCTGCAGGAAAGAAACGAGTGATTGTCATTGGCATTTCTGTTGGACTCTCTGTGAGTATGAATACAGAGGCGGGATGGAAAGATGTTGTAAGGAGGATGGGGGTGGGGAGAGAATGAGGAAGAGGATAGATCTGAGGTCTAGAAGAAGATAATAGACAGCATTAACATGATCTTGAGACTTCAGAAGCAGTATGGTGGATAAGATGCTTAACTAGGAGTCAGGAAAGGCCTAGGTTCAAATCCTATCTTTGGTTCTGAGCCTTAGGTTAATTTGCTAAGACCATAAGTATGCAGAATACTTTACAACTGTTATCTCATTTAATATTATTATTATTATCCACATTTTGCATATGAGGAAACTAAGGTTAAGAGAAATTAAGCGCTCTGAAGTAAAATTTGAACTCAGATCTTTAATGTTGTTTAGCTGTTTAATGATTTGCATGTGGTAGAGAAGGTTCCCACACCTGTGAAATCCCACTAATTCTGTCCCACTTCTGTGAATGCGAGCACAGGGCATGTGTTATCATTGCAACAACTGCATTATTCTGTAGGTTTTGATTTGGTGCTCACTTTGTTACCTGTACTAAGCTAGACACTATAGGGGATATAGAAGCACACACACACACACACACACACACACACACACACACACATATTAGTCTATTTTTATATATACTGTTTAATTGAAATTTTTTTTCTTTCTCCTCTTTATTTATTTCCCCTCATTCTCTTGCCTTATCTCAGGCTCCTTTTGTGGCTGGTCAGATGGATTTCTGTATGAATAACCCAGACATCTTCTTGCCTATTCTGGTAGGGTTCAATCCAGTAAACGTGGCTAGGTGAGTCTTCCAAATAGAAATATCAGGAATCTTCCACCTTGGAAAGGTGAAAGCTGACTGGGGAGGCATTTCCTTGAATGAATTGAGGGAAGATGGGCTAATTAGGTCTTCAGGTCCTTCCGGTCTGTTATCTGTCTTGGTAGATGGCGAAGATCTCAGCTGGTTATTATGAGTTGTCTGCTAGGATAGTGACCTCTCTATTTTTATAAGTATTCTGAGGCTGGATGATTAGTCATCAGGTACAATGGAGAAGAGATTCCTGAATTGGTCAGGCCTAGTAGGTTGTCCCTTCCAACTCTAAAATACTCCAGTCTAGTCTAATTCACATTTGAGTGTAAATGAGTGATACTTTTAACCTTCCCAGGGGTGCCCATATTTTAAAAGACATTTATTAACACAAATTAATCTTAAATTGATTGAATTTAGGCAGTGTGACGGAGGGAAATTTAAAATGTCAACTGGTATTTATGGGCAAAGTTTACCATGTAGGCTTTCCTTTATAAAACTGGGTGCTTGCATCCCCTGAAGTTTGAAGCTTAATCTGTTAGTCATTTGAACAAGCATTTATTTAAATGTCTACTATGTTCCCAGCACTGTACTAACTAAGTACTGGGGATACAATGAAAGGCAAAAGACAGAACCTGCTCTCAAGGAATTCACAGTCTAATGGGGAAGACAAAATGTATGTAGAAATAAGCTATATATGGGAAAGATGGGGAGTAATCAGTAGAGGGAAGGCATTAGAATTAAGGGAGATTAGGAAAGGCTTTCTGTAGAAGGTGGGGATTTTAGCTGGCACTCAAAAGAAGCCAGGAGGAGATGAGGAGGGTCTAGGTATGGGGTATAGCTAATGAAAATGCCCAGAATTGGGAGATGGAGTGTCTTGTCTGAGAAAGAGCAAAGAGGCCAGTGTCACTGGATCTCAAGGGCATGTGGGGGTGGGATATGGTGTAAGGTATAAGAAGACTGAAAAGGTGGTGCCGGTGGAACAGGCTATGAGAGACTTTGGATGCCAGAGGATTTTATATTTGATCCTAAAAGTGATAGGGAGCCACTGGTGTTTATTAAAGAGGGGGATAACATGCTCAGACCTGTGCTCTAGGAAGCACTTTGGCAGCTGAGTGGAGGATGGATTGACTGGGGAGAGACTTGGGGCCGGGAGACCAAACCAGCAGGCTATTGCAATGGTCCGGCATCACGGTAATGAGCGCCTGTACCAAGATGGTGACAGTGTCAGAGCAGAGCAAGGGACATATCTGAGAAATGTTACAAAGGTAAAATTGGCTGGCCTTGGCAACAAAATATTCAGGTAGCTATTTGCAGGAAATACTATTTAACATAGCAGGTAGCAAATCCATGAATGTGGAAAATATAACTTCAAGAAAGGCTGAAATAAATTAATGGATAATAGAACTAATAAGTGATTGAATGGAAGTTAGGGGCTCTGGGTACATAGTTAATCTTTTTTTTTGAGATAATGTAATAGAAGGTGATTATTATTTTTCTTTCACGGTTTCAATTAATACTTACTAAGGAATATTTATTATGTGTCAACTGAACCTTCATATAACTATCAGATAGATGCAATAAATCTTTTCAATTCAGTTCAATAATTGATACCCACATAGCCAAAGCTTTCTTCATTCATTCATTCATTCACTCACTCATTTGCTTATTTATTCATGTATTTACTAACAAACATTTATTTAGACACACATATTCCATACCTCTTAACACCTTATAATTTGCTCCCAGGTTAACTGAATGAAGGAAGATGTGTCTATCCACAAGTATACTTTAGTACTCTCAGATTTCTCTCTTTATAATATATGCTGTGATGTAGAGAGCTTCTTGTATTGGTCTGGATGGGCCTGACGCAGTGTAGTATTTCTAATATCTAATAGTATTTCTAATATTCTTATGGTCCTGATCCTGCTGGAGCCATCCAGAGGATATGGGCTAGCACAGTCACAGCATTGGCAGTAAATACAAGGAGCAGAGTGATCTTTGGGACTGGAAACTCAAATATATCATTAGATTGGTAGTGATCGTAGTAGCAACATTTATAATAACTCATATTACAAATCACTTTACATGCCTTATCTCTGATCCTCAAAATGACTCTATGAGTAGGATGATGCAAGTATTAATGTCTCAATTTTACAGGTCAAGAAACTCAGATCTCCGGAAGTTAAATTACTTCAATTGATTTCAATTAAGCAAATATTTTCAGGTGCTTACTAAATTCAAGACACTCTATTAGGAGCTAGATTTATGAAAATTTCCATCAAGATTACACAGCAAGCTATTGTGGGCATTGCCTTTCCACTACGTGAGTGTACTTTTGAACCTCAGTAGCTGAGCATTTCAGTGTAATGCCCCTGTGGGCTCCCTCCTCTCAACTTAATTCTTGAAAGTTGGATTCCTTGGGGAAAAACTGCTCTAGGTTCAAAGTACTCTGTGGGTCCATATTCCTAAAACTATAGTTTTCCAGCTTCCAGCAATGGGTTTACCTTTGATAGTCAACCAGTGGCTATAATTAGCTCAAAGCAAAGGCATTTACTGAAATGTTACAGAGTGAATAGTAGTAACAAAATGTTCCCTTCATAAACCTGGGGGCTCACTCTCCCACAAATGTACACAGTGTTAGTAGGAGTGAATACACACATAGAGTACACATGTAGCCAAGGCATCTCAATGCCTCCAGCTCTGTAGGGCCACCCATGCCTTTTTGATTGTTATGATGGCTCCCCAGTGGATTAAATGCCAGAGAGGCTTGGGAACATAGTGCTGCCACCAATTCAGGAAAGTTAAAGCATAAACCTGATCGCTGACCCCAATCATTCACTTCCACCTCTCAAACCTCTGTCTTTCTGGGACCCAGAAATGATCCCATTGAGGACTGGAATTCCACTTTCCGTGAAATTGCGCAACGGATGCAGAAGCTGCAAGAGAAACAGGAAGCATTTGTGCTCAACCCTGTAACTGGGGTAAGCTATTCCCATCTTCTTTTTCCCCCTGTCTTTGCCCCCAACCCCATCTCAGCCATCTTACCCCTCTTAGGCTTGCTATCTGCCTTCCTAAACTTTCTGCTTTTACGTTGACCTGTACACTCTTCAAGCTTTGCTCTCAAATGTTGGCAATTGGAAGACAGTGATTCCTCACTTTATGAAAAACTTGAGCATCAACTGATCATTGAAAAAACAAATTTTGCTTTACAGTCACTCCCATTTTAACTTTATAGATGCTTTTTTTTTTGAGGCAATTGGGGTTAAGTGACTTGCCCAGAGTCACATAGCTAGTGAGTGTTATGTGTCTGAGGCCGGATTTGAACTCAGGTCCTCCTGACTCTGGGGCTGGTGCTCTATCTACTGTGCCACCTAGCTGCCTCTGATGCTTTATCTTTATTTCTGATTTTCAGTTAGATTATTGTGTTTAATCATGTCTGATTCTTCGTAACCCCATTTGGGGTTTTCTTGGCAAGGATTGTCATTTCCTTCTCCAGCTCATTTTACAGATGAGGAAACAAAGGTAAGCAGGGTTAAGTGACTTGTCCAGGGTCATGTAGCTAGTAAGTGTCTTAGGCAGGATTTGAACTCGGGTCTTTCTGACTCTCAGGCCTGACACTGCACCACCTAATTGCCTTTTCAATTAGCAGCCAATACATAATACTTTAGCTCTAGGTTTCACTTCTCCCAAGTCCTCACCCTTTAAATTTTTCTGTTAATGATTGTTATTAGTATAACACTGACTTCCCTGACCCTATTGCCTGAAGACCAGGTATGTTACCTTTCACTCCTATAATAATCAGTCTCCACCAATGGAAAGAGTATTATGCAAATGTTAAACCATAGGTTACATTAGGAAAACATCTAATGAAACTTTAAAAAAAAATGTTTGTGAGGCATACAAAAAAATCAGCTAATGTAATATAAATAATCACTAAGCCAGACAGTGGCTAGAGAGATGGCCTCAGTCAGGAAGATCTCGGTTCAAGTCACATCTCTGACCCATACTACAAGTGTGACGCTGGGCAATTCACTTAACCTCTCAGTTCCTCAGGCAACTCTCCAAAGCTTCAAATTGCAAAGCAAGTTCAGCCTCTTCTGAAGTTACCTGTACCAGTGAAATCACAAGTTCAGTCCAAAAATATGAATCTGCCTTATAAGTTTGGGTCTGCACATAAATGTTTTGGTGTTTTTTAAAAATAGTGAAAACTCTTTCTACTCCCCTCCACCAAGCTGCAGAAAGGCGTTCTCAAGCCTCCTGGGCTCCCTGACGTCTCTTCTCTGATGCTTCTTGGATTTTTTCTAACTTGTACCTTGCCACCATCCATCTCTTCACTTTTGTCTCAACCTAGATTTCTCCCTACATGTATCTCTGTGCTATTTGCTATGTTTGCTAAATGTATGGAGCAATCATTGATGTGATATCATTGTCGCTGTTGTTAGTCCTTTGTTCTCAAAGAGGACCACGACATCAGGAAGGTGCTGTCATGACCTACCAGACGCATGTGAAACAACAATTTTTAGATAGGGAAAAAAGAAGAAAAACAAGGGCCAGGGAGGAGAGGGGATCCCTGAAAAGTGTTTTAGTGTGAAAGCCACCCACCTCCAGCATAATTCTTTACCTCCAGGGTCCAGGTGCACCATTTTCAACAAAAAGTACTGAAGATGATCTACTCCCTTTCTCACCTCACCTCCCACTCCCATGCTTTCTGGTTCTTTCGCTTCAGATCGTCTTGACATCTATCTCCCCTAAAAGAAGAGCACCTTTAATATCACCTGGCCAATTTTATTTCTGATTGTTTTTTACGCTCTCCCAATCTTTTTCCTGTCCTGTTCACCTCAGCCTGAAGGGCTCAGTGATTCCTCTAGAATGAAGGGTGGAAGTGCCACCAAGATCCTGCTGGAAACTCTGCTGCTGGCAGCACACAAGACTGTGGACAGAGGCATTGAAGCCTCTCAGAGGTAGGAAGCCAAGGGTAAAGGGAGGGAGGGGTCAAAAAAAAAGGGACCAGGAGTAGAACACTGCATTCCAGAGCAGAGTGGACGATGGAGAAAAAGTGGGAGAGGAAAGAAATAGAGAGGAGCTAGGACAAAGACAGTTCCATCATCCCTGAGGGTAGGGTGGTAGAGTTAGGAGAGCTGGGGCAGTTGAACAGGAAAGGAAGATAGGTTGGCAGGTGAATATGCAGTTCAATTCAATAAGCATTTATTCAATGTCTACTATATGCCAGGTACTGTACTAGGCATTAAGGATACAAAGACAAATCAGTCCCTGCCCTCATGGAGCTTACGTTCTATTGAACTGAATAATGCTCTCTCTGTGTAACTACGGAATCTGATTTGGTTCCAAAGGCCCCAGGATTCCTAGCGATCCTAACCCAAACCATGGGGCCTATTTAAGGGAAACAGGAACCCATGGAGTATCCAGAACCAATTTGATTTCTGGGGAAAACTTTTGACCTAGAGTGACTCAAGACCAAGACCAGAGTAGTTTTGTACTATATCTCCCTACTTCAAAGGGTATCTTAGAGGTGCTAAGGGTGGCATCAGCATCACCTCAGCATCAAATGACGAATTCTTTACAGGTCTCTGCAATCTTCCCCATAGCCCTCCCAGGAAGACCTTATCATGCCCTTTTTGTTACCTATTAATCTATCAAGCCCTCTTTTGCCTCTCATGGTATCAGCCTGACTGACCACTTTACTTCATTAAGGTCTAGCTACTTTGATCCATTTAGGAATAGTGCTTCCCTTGGGGGAAAATCCCCTTCTCAAAGAGGGATCTATTTGAAAGAGCTGTTGTAGGGACAAGGCAGAGCTTAGGAACTTTCTGGGTGTTCTAGAGCTGGAAGGGAAGTGTCTTTCACTTCTTCATAGCTGTCTCCTGGAGATCTTGAGAACATTTGAACGAGCACACAAAGTCACCTGCATCCAAAGCCCCAAGATTGCAGCGCTGATGAAGCAGGCAAGCACCAGGTAATGAGGGGACAGGTTTAAAGTAGTGTGAGCCAGGTCTGGGTAGGGGACAACAAAGATTTAAGGGAAACACTTGTGAATCTAGAATAGGGTGACTAAGGGGAGGTGGGTGTTATAAAAGTCCTTCCTTGTTGTCTTCCTGGATGATGTTAATCTGTTCCCATTGGGAAGCCTTGGTTGTTTCTTTGTGCTTGGCTAGCTCTCTCTTTCTGAATTTTTCTCTGGTAATATCTGTTCTCAAATCCTCTAACTTTTGAACTGACTCTACTGATCTCTGACCCTGTTCCCAGTCTGCAGAAGAATGGCCGAGTGTACCTGGTTGGTTGGCAGACTCTAGGTATTATTGCCATCATGGATGGAGTGGAGTGCATACACACCTTTGGTGCAGGTGGGAACCCAGTCCAGCCTGCCACTCTGATCTACATTGCTAACCTCATCTGCCTCCTCACCCCAACACTTCTCTATCCCCAACACAGTGGGCTCCTTACCCAACATTTCTCTTAACCCAAACTAACCTGAAGCCCTTATCCTATGGCACTCTCTTAATCCAATGCAATTCCCTAACCCTATTAATCCTTTGTTAATCAGTCCAAGATTCAAGTACCCTTAGGTATCTTTCCATATCACCCCATGTTCTTCACAGCTTGAACGCCCTCCTTTCTAATCCTCTTCCAACCCCAAGACCTCAGATCTTGGTGAAGTCTGCTCCCTTCCCCATGTCCATACGCGTTCATGCTCCTAAAAGATAGCTTTTAAAATCTGACATAAGTACCTGTTTATCTCCTAAACTTACTAGATTTCCAAGATGTTCCAGGCTTCCTAATTGGTGATCATAGTGACATATTTAATCAGAAGGAAGAAATTGTTGCCCAGGTTGGAAGCTGATGGGAAGGATGAAACTTGGGGAGATAGATGGGCTGGAGAAGAGAATGGGGACTAGCCCCAAAGACCAAAGCTATACTGTGTGGAGGGGGTGGAAGGAAGGTTCATGGGAAGGCATTAGAATTTGCTAAGGGTTGTTAGGCAAGGCAAGGCAAGAAGCCTGTATTAAGCATTTACAATGAGATAGTACTGTGCTAAGTACTAGGGATACAAATGCAACACCCCCCCCAAAAAAAAAGACAGTCCATGGCCTTATGTTCTAATGAAATTTACATTCTAATGGAAGCAAACAACACACAAAATGAAACTGAAAAGCTGGAGTTGGGGGTGTGTGGACTATGAAGATATACAAGGTGGGGAGTGGTTTTGAAGTCTGAAAAGTCAGGAGAGTTGGGAGAGGAATGAAGGTCAACTGGCCTGAGTCCCTCCAAAATATGGAGGCCTCAGGAGGAACTCACCAATGGGAGGACAGGGAGGTATATTCTAGGGTGACAAGGCCACAGAGATAACTGGAAGTGGTTAGGGACAGGAGGATATTAGCTCAGTGTATGAAGAAGGGAAATAGGAGCAAGGAATCTTAAAGGTTTAGGGGAAGGAGTGGTTGAATTTCTTCTCTCTTTTCCTCCTACCTGAGGGTCCACAGTTCTCCTTCTCCAAAGAAGATTTCCTCACTTCTATCCTACCATCCCTCACTGAAATTGACACTGTGCTCTTCATCTTCACCCTGGATGGTGAGAGGGGATATAGATGAGGTGGTTGTAGGGAGGAAAGAGTGGGAAGGGTGGTGGTTCCCCCTCCACACAGTATAGCTTTGGTCTTTGGGGGTAGTCCCCAAGTTCATCTACAATTTGATCATTTGCTTCTTCCCAAAGAGAATTTCAGCTTTGGTCCCTTCTCCCTCCATTCCAGACAACCTCACAGAAGTGGAAACATTGGTGGAGCAAGTGAAGAAGAAGACTCCAAGCCCTGGCTCACAGCACAGTGGGGCAATACTTACCAGTGAGAAACAGCAAGAATGGAAAGGGGGATGATGGGAAGTGCATGGGTGCAGTTTCATATGTCATATTTCTTTTGTTTCCATTTCTATCTTCAGTCCCCACTGAAGAAGCTCTTTCTATCCATCATCAGCATCACCTGGCCCCTGCTTTTCTTTGAATATGAAGGGAACTTCATCCAGGTAAAACTACAACTCATATTCATATATTACTTGAAGTGAGTATTTTCCTCAAACAACTCTGTGAAGCAGTTGGTAAAATATTTTTATTCTCACTTTACAGTTAAGGAAACTAAGATTTAGAGAGGTTAAATGACTTGCCCATGATCCCTCTGTTAGTAAAAAGTACAGTGGAAAGGGCAATAGTTTAGAGTCAGTGAGTCCAGATTCAAATCCCACTTGTGTGACCCTGTAGGCAAGACACTTAACCTCTTTATCTCATTTTTTTTTCAACTGTAAAGTGAAGGGATTGGAGTAGGTGGCCTGTGGGCCACCTTTTGGCTTACCTCTATGATCTTAAGTATATTAGAGTTCAGGATCTGAGTTCAGGTCTGTAGACATTCTTTCCACTACACCAAACTGTGGTGTTCTCAGTGAAAGAAATGTAGAGAAAAAAACTACTCAAGGAGGGAGGCTAAAAGCTAATAATTTTTTTAAAATTTAAATTATTTTTAAAGTATCACAGTCATTCCTTCTTTACCCTTCATCTCCTCACATTGACTCTTCTGTTGTAACAAAAAAAATTAAGCAAAACCAATCATTTAGCTCATTTTGTATAGTTCTTTAAAGTTTGCAAAGTGTTTTAAATATATGTATTATATCTCATTCAGTCTTGAGAATAAGCCTGTGATGTAGGTATTATTATTTCCATTTTATAACTGCAGGAACTGAGGTTTAGGGAGGTTAAGTGACTTACCTGATATCACATAGCTAGCTAATGACACATGTGGCAGTCTTCACAGCTCCCAGACTGGTGCTTTATCCACACTACTTGACGTGTCATATTCGAACTTCCCCCACAGCTACCTGGTGTGACAATGAAATCCATATCTGTAGAAAGCTGGTGATTTAATATTACCCTGTCCCACTTCTGTGAATGTGACAATGGGGCAGGCTGGGTAAATTCTTTTTTCACTAGGTCACAAGGCAGAGTGAATTTCAAAGGCAGTAGGTCATTGGGACACAGGTGTGAGCTATGCATTGAAGAGAACTGCTACAGTATTAACATCAAATATATGTGTTTATTGAACACCAGCTTTCTGTAGAGCTCTTTACTAAAGTCATCCTTTGACGTCTCATCATGGTGTGCAGATGACACTGGGTTCTTGAAGATCCCATCAGTGGAGCACAAACTCTGGCAGGTCCTACCGTAGGAAATACAGGTCTAGAACTAGAAGAAACGTTAGAAGTCACTTCTCTGTACCTTTGGGTACAGAGAAGGTAGGTGATTTGTACGATGACACAAAGGTAGTAAGCTGAAGATCTGGGATTTGAACACAGGTCTTGTGACTACAAGTTTGGCACTCTTTCTTGGACATGCATTATCTCCCATACCTACCTACTTACCTCTCAATCTCCTAAAGTGTACTGGTTTGGAGTACAGCCTAAAGTGTGATGGATTGTGTATCTTTTTTTTCTACTTTTTAATTTTTTGTTCATTTCTTGTTAACAACATATTGGATTCTGTTTCTAATCCATTCTACTATCCTCTTCCATTTTATATGTGAGTTCATCTCACTAACATTCACAGTTATGACTGTGAATTGTAACTTTTCTTCCATTCGTTTTTCTGACACTTTTTCTTCTCTTTAATCTGCCCTCCCTCTTATTCTACCCCTGCCTTTCCTAAGCCCTTTTCCTTTCTGTTTCCCTCATGAGTGAAATGTATTTCTATTTCAACTGTATGTGCATGTATACTCTTCCCTCCTTTGACCAGTTCAGATGAGATGCTCTTTCCTCTTTGTTGTGTAGATTCTACTTATGCTCCCCATTAATATGAGAAAATTTTCCCCATTTTCCTCTCCCCATCTCATCCCCAGTCCCTTATGTATCCCCCTTTCCCTCCTTTTTCATTCATTTTTTAAAGATCATCAAAATGTTATAATCACTCCTAGGCCTTCTGTGTAAGTAGACTCCCTCACTGACTCTTGATGAGTTCTGAGGGAATGCATGTTTTATCTCTCTACATAAGAATGTAAACAATTTAACCTTGTTTAGTTGTTTATACTTACCTTTTTTATACTTCTCTTGACTCCTTCATTTGTATATCAAATTCTGTACTCAGCTTTGATCTTTTCATCAAAAATGCTTCTAATCCTCTATTTTATTATAGTTCTATTTTCCCCCCATAGGGTTGTACTCAGTTTTGCTGAGTAAGTTATCCTTGATTGTTAGCCTAGATCAAGGGTGGGGAAACTGCGGCCTCAGGTTACCCACCCCTGGACTAGTGGATTCTTTCAATTTATACATTTTCTCTCTGATTCTAAGAGATCTGGGCATTTTTTCTTTTATGGTTTCTTAAAGATGTCTAGTCTAATTTTTGTTTTTTTTTGTTTTGTTTTGATTTTAGTCATGGCTTTCAGGTAGTCCAATGATTCTTAATTTTTTTTCTCCTTGATCTGTTTTCCAGGTCAGTTGTTTTTGTTAAGAGATAGTTTACATTTTCTTCTATTTATTCAATCTTTTGACTTTGTTTTAATATTTCTTGATGACTCATAGAATTATTAGCTTTTATTTGGTCAATCCTAATTTTCAGGGATTTATTTTCCTGGGTAAGGTTTTATACCCCTTGTTCCAAGCTGTTGATTCCTTTATCATATCTTTCATCTGTGGGTCTCATTTCTTTTCCCATTTTTCCCTCTACTGTTCTCTCTTTTTTTAAAATTAATTTTTTTGCTCTTAAACAAACAAACAAACAAACAAACAAACTCTTGCTTTATCTCTTCCAGGAATTCTGATTGGTCTTGTGTCCAAGCTGCCACTGAGCCTTTGAGCCTTTGCTTGTAGTTGTTTTCAAATCATTTTCTTCTTCTGAATTTCTCTCTTAAACTTCTCTATCACCATAATAGCTCTTTATGGTGGGATTATTTTTTTTTGTTTGCTCATTTTTCCAGCCTACTTCTTGACTTTGGACTTTATGTTAAGCTGGGGCTCTGCATACTTTCTGAGGAAAATGTCTGGGTAAGCTTCTATTTTTTTGGGTCCTTCTGCTGCTTTCTTGGGGTTTTGAGCATAGTGTTTTTCTAGGATCTTAGGGACAGCTCAGGCTAGGGACCTGCAAGCTTTCAGTGTTCACAAAGTGATGTGAGCTGAACAAAGTTTGCTTATTGCTGTTTGTTTGAACTCTGCAAGTTCCTGAACCAAGTTTTGATCAGAGCAAGACCTCTATTAGCTTGTCTCTGGTTGAAAGTTTCAACAGACTTCTGGTGGATTCAGCCACTGTTAGATCCTGAGAGACTTTCTTTGTAGGTTCAGAGTAACCAAAGTGCAGGTCTGGTATTCTGACACTGCTTATTCCACTGTAATCTTTAGCCTGATCTGGAGGCTCGAATTGAGTCCTGCTGTGATTCTGGGATCACAGCCACACAGCTACTATTTGCTTCTGAACTTGTTCTTATCTCAGGGCACAGTGAGGGTCCAAATGTGACCACTCCTTTCCTAGGCACAGGTCTCTCCCTCAACCCATCTTGGATTAGTGACCCAGAACTGGGTAGTGAGTGACAGAGCTGCCAGATAGCACTTATTTCTGAACTCTACATTATTTCAGGGACTCCTCAACACCTCTTCCTAATCCTATACTTCCTACCCTCATGCCCACTCTCAACCTTTTTTTAGTACCTGGGGAATGCCCTGCATTACCCTACGTTCCTGGCCAAACTCCATCTCCACTGTCCTCAGACCTCCCTGCCTGTCTCCCTAAACTGATCCGTGTTGGAAAAATTATTCACTGTGATTTTTTTTCTTGGATTTCTTGATCAGGATTAGGTCTAGTGTATTTTCTAGATCTTTTTGGAGGAGATGTGATAGGGGAGCTAGGCTGTACTTCTTCCTACTATACTGCTATATTGACCTTGTGTATCTGGAAGATTAACTTCACTAAATGCCAAGAGTCTTATTGTCAGATTGAGTGATACATTTTTGGCCATAGCAACTCTAGATGTAGCAGAGGGGTTGTGATTTATGTTGGTGGAAGGCGTACCTACACGAAGTAAGAATTGATTTCAGAGTACTGTTTTATGAGTTGTGGGAAAATGTCAGAGGAAGCAGAGATCTTCTCTCCTCTCACGAGGCACTTAACATCTAGCTAGGGAGACACCCCCCCCCAACCATTTAAGAGCAATTATGAAACAAAGTATCAAAAAGTACAAACAGATATAGTGGGTGTCTACAAAGCCATTTCATTCCTACAGGAGAAGAGAGAGGCTCCTGGAAACTCCCAAAGAGGAAACACCTTCCAGATGCTTGTTGCATTGAAAATATACAGGAGGACAACGTTGTAAGAGAGTGATCTGGGAGAGACAGGATTAAACAGAGGAGTTAGGTAATCTTGGAGTTAGTCCTCCTGGAGTGGAGGAGTTCGGGACAGGAGCTTTTTATTGTGCTTTATTGATAAATCTTAATGGTAGCCTGCCTTGAGGACCAAAAAAAGCTGTACAGAACACTGCATATCTCGATAATAGTCTATGCAGTCACCCATTTTGGTAAGTTACCATTTGGTAAAAGAGAAGAAACTTTTAAAAGGTAGCACCAATTCTATGCTTGCAGTACTGATTTCTTCACTTTGTATCACTCTTCAGAAGTCTCATATTTCTTTGAATATTTCATATTTGTCATTCTTTACAGCACAGTTATATTCAATTTCATTCATATACCCCAAGTTATTTCCAATTTCTTATTTTTACAAATAGTACTATTATAAATATAAGGACATATTATATCTATGGGGCAGCTAGGTGGCAGAGTGGATAGAGTGCTGACCCTGGAGTCAGGATGACTCTGAGTTCAAATGTGGCCTCAGACAGTTACTAGTTCTGTGATCCTTAACTCTGTTTGCCTCAGTTTCCTCATCTGTAAAATGAGTTGGGATAGGACATGGCAAACCACTCAAGTATCTTTGCAAAAAACAAAAAACAAAAAAAACCAAAACCCCAAAACAAAAACCCTAAATGGGGTCATGAAGAATCAAACATGACTGAAAATGATTGAAAAGCTTGACAAAATGCTATTATAAATACTTCTGTAAAGTTTTCCTCTCTCATTATAGCTTCCTTGATGTATAAGCCTAGTGATGGGATCATATAATTCCGCATGGTTTTCCCAAATGGCTAAACAAAATTACATCTTCACCAACAGTGAGCATTCCTGTTTTTCTGTATCCTTTTAAGTAATATTTTTTATTTTTCCTAATTTAATAGTAAAATGATACTGCAGAGTTGTTTTAATTTGTATTTCTCTGTTTATTAATAACCCTGAGTGCTTTTTAAAAAGCTGATTATACCCTTTGAACCACATTTCTACTAGGAAATGATTGAGTCACATCTTGTAGTAGAACAAGGATCATTAAATCAAAGATTTAGAGCTAGAAAATATTCTTGAGATTATCATCATTTTATAGTTGAGGAGACTGAGGTTCAGATGTGTTAAGTGACTTGTTTAAAGTTGTATAGACAGTAAGTTTGCAAAGCCAGGATTTGAACCCAGGTATGCTTCTTGTTGTTGCTGTTTTTGTGTTGTGTCATTTTTCAGTCGTGTCCAACTCTTTGTGACCCCATTTGGGGTTTTCTTGGAAAAGATACTGGAGTAGTTTGCCGTTTTCTTCTCCAGCTCCTCACAGATAAGGAAAGTGAAACAAGCAGGGTTAAATGACTTGCCTAGGGTCACACAGCTAATAAGTGTCTGAGGCCAGATTTGAACTCATGAAGAAGAATCTTCCTGACTTCAGACCCTGTACTCTGTCCATTATGCCATCTAGCTGCCTGTATCAGAGGGTAGATAGCCTGTTTCAAAATGAGTCATCTGGAACTGTGGTTGGTCATTATATTAATCAGACTTCCTAAGACTTTTGAAGTTGACTGTCTTTACAAATTGTTATTATATAAATTGTTCTGTTTCTTCTCACTTCCATTCTCCTTCAGTTCATACAAGCCTTCCCAGGTTCCTTTGAAATAATCCATTCATTTCTGACAGCACAATAGTATTTCCTCATATTCATGTACCATAACTTCTTCAGCCATTCACCAATTGATGGACATCCCCTTAGTTTCTAGTTCTTTGCCACTACAAAGTAAACTGCTAATATAATTTTGCGCATTTCCTTTTCCTTTTTTTAAAAAAAATCTCTTTAAGTTATAGACTTAGTAGTGGTATCAATTCTGTAGCTACTCCCAGCTTCAAATGCGTTGCTTCCTCCTTTTCTTGTCTTTGCTATCAATGAATTCAAAGGATAAAATTTCTTCCCCGTACCAATATGATATTTCCAACTCAGGCAACTAGTGAAGATTAGATTATGAGCTCTATATTTATATTCTTTTGAAAAAATGTTAAAAGGGAAAGAACACTGGACTACAAGTCAGTAGACCCAAATTCTGGTTCACTGTGTTCCTTTGATAAATTATGTAATATCCTTCTTTTACTCTGTCTATATAAAGGAAGATAATAATAGTTGACCTTCTTACTTCATGAGCTGCTAACAACTCTCTCCACCTCCAAAATCACCTTGTATATACTATATTTTATGTGGCATAGTAGATCAAGATTTTGGCCTCAGATCCAGGAAGACCTGGGTTCAAGTCATTCTTCCAACACTTACTGGCTATGTGACTGGGCAAATCACTTAATTTTTCATTGCTGTGTACAACATATATACATGTGGTCTCTCATGGCTAGCCTAGCTCACAGAAGGTAAGAGCTTTTTGAATTTTTGTTTTTGTATCCCTAATGCTGGCCATAATGCCTGGCACATAGTAGGTGTTTTTATAAATACTTATTGTTGATTGATTATTGCTGATCAAATAATGTTCAAGTGCTTTGAAAAATTTGATTGCTATAGAATAATATTCCAAGGAATAATAATTCACCAGAGTATTGCTATACCATGATCCTCTATCATGAGGAATTTGAAAAAAGGCAGGATTTACTATCAAAAGAACCTAGTTATAATGGGCAATCTTATAGGTGACATGAAAACTGAGGTTGATATGCCAAACTTCAATGTCTTTGGATTTATCCTATATTCACATAAAATCCCATTACAACAACATCTAAGTGACTAACTGAGTTCTTTGGTTATTCTAGATTGTTATGTCTGATGCTTGGATCTTTAGTTGTATACAGTTTTGGGGGGTTATAGGGACAATGTAATACAGTAGAAAGAATGCTGGATTTGGAGTCAATAAACCTGTGCTCAAATCTGGGCTCTACTAGTTACTTTATGACATTGGATAAGTCAATTAAGCGCTTTGGGCCTCAACCTACATGTATTTACAAGTATTTGGTGGTACCTTTATATTATAAACTTCTACATAATTTTTCACCTTTGTAACTTTGGTGCTTAATCCATTTGAATTGAAATGAATTGAATTACTAGTATTCCCTACTAGGGGACAGTAGCATTGGTTCTATCTTACCTAACAAAGACCAGGGGTCAGATGTTGAGTAAGAGGTCAAGGTATCAAGGTTAAAAGGAGGGAACAAAAGTTTAGTTTTTTATAAGGGTGTCTTGAATCAGCTAAATTCTTTTGCTAAAGGACTCAAGTAGACTGCTGTCTACTTTCTTTTGATTGTAGGGCTTGGTTCACCTGCTTCTACTAGTGTAAACTTCCTCCTTTGTGTCTCTTTTGTGTAGAAGTTCCAACGTGAGTTGAGCACCAAGTGGGTGCTGAACACAGTGAGCACTGGGGCCCATGTCCTTCGTGGGAAGATCTTGCTTAACCATATGTTGGACCTAAGATTGTGCAACTCCAAGCTCTTCTGGCGGGGCTTGGCCATGCTGCAGGTAAGGGAATGACTGGATATCCTGTGAGAGTGGGTATCGGAAGGTATTCTTCATGAGCATAAAACGTGTTGAGGGGTAAGGCTGCTTTCATACTTCTTATCCTGTTTCTGCTCTTCACTTTCCTCACCTTACCCTATATAGACTGTTGGGAAAATATTAACTATTAATAACTATTAATTAACTATTAATAACTATTAAACGTGTGTGTGTGTGTGTGTGTGTGTGTGTGTGTGTGTGTGTGTGTACCTGTATTAGGAGAAAGGAGAAACCATCTGTCATAGAGGAAGTTAAAGAAATCAATCATTCAAAGAGTGTTTGTTGATAAAAAAAAAAAAATTTGCCCCAAAGGGCAGAACAAGGGGCAATGGGTAGAATTTCCAAAGAGGTAGATTTGAATTTGATATCAGGAAATACTTCTCAGCAATTAGAAGTATCCAACATGGAATGAGCTGTCTTGGGAGGTGGTGGGTTCCCCCTTATTTGAACATCTCTAAGTGAAGGCTGGATGACCAAGTCAAGTTGACAAGTATTTATTTTTATTTTTTTCACATTTGTTTTTAAAACTTTGAGTTCCAAATTCTCTCCCTTTCTCCTTCTCCCCCCCCCATTGAGAAGGCAAGCAATTCCATATAGGTTATATATGTGTAGTCATGTAAAACATATCCATAATAGTCATGTTATGAAAGAAAACAGACAAAAAACTCAAGAAAAATAAAGTGAAACAAACAAACAAACAAACAAAGTTGCTTCAATCTGTGTTCAGTGACCATCAGTTCTTTCTCTGGGGATGGATAGTATTTTTCATCCTAAGTCCTTCAGAGTTGTCATGGATCATTGTATTGCTGAGAATAGTTAAGTCATTCACAGCTGATCATCTTACAATATTGCTGTTACTTTGTCCCCAGTACATTTCATTTTGTATCAACCCATGTAAGTCATTCTAGGTTTTTCTGAGAGCATCCTGCTCATCATTTGTTATAGTACAATAGTATTCCATCATAATTACATACCACAACTTATTCAACCACTCTCCAATTGATGTGCATCCTCCCAATTTCTAATTCTTTATCCCCAGAAAAGATCTGCTATAAATATTTTTGTACACATAGATCCTTTTCCTTTTTGTTTTTTATCTCTTTTGGGATACAGACCTAGTAGTGGTATTGCTATGTCAGAGAGTATGCATGGTTTTATAGCCCTTTGGGCATAGTTCCAAATTGCTCTATAGAATAGTTTAATCAATTCACAACTCTGACAACAGTACATTAATGTCTCATTTTTCCCACATCCCCTCCAACATTTGTCATTTACATTTTCTGTCCTATTATCTAATCTAATAGGTATGAAGTAGTACCTGAGAATTGTTTAAGGCTAGCATTTTTCCAATCAATAGTGAGTTAGAATATTTTTTCATATGACTATAGATAGCTTTAATTATTTCATCTGAAAACTGATTATATCTTTTGATCATTTATCAATTGGGGAATGGCTCTTATTCTTATAAATTTGACATAATTCTCTATATGTTAGAGACATGAGGTCTTTATCAGAAAGTTACTTCAAAATTTTTTTCACAGTTACTGTTGCTACCTGTGTTTCCCTCCATCCTTTTCCCCTACCCCCGTTTATTCTATTCTCTCTCTCCTTTTACCCTGTCCCTCCTCAAAAGTGTTTTGCTTCTGATAACCCCTTCCCCCAATCTACCCTCCCTTCTATCACTGCCCCCCCTTTTCTTATCCCCTCCACCTTCTATTTTCCTGTAGGGTAAGATAAATTTCTATACTCCATTGCCTGTGTATCTTATTTCCCAGTTACATGTAAAAACAATTTTTAATATTTGTTTCTAAAACTTTGAGTTCCAAATTCTCTCCCTTCCTCCTTCCCCACCCACCTTCATTGTGAAGGCAAGCAATTTGATAAAGGTTATACATGTATAGTCATGCAAAACACTTCCATAATAGTCATGTTGTGAAAGACTAACTATTTTTGCCTCCATCCTATCCCACCCCCCATTTCTTCTATTCTCTCCTTTCACTCTGTTCCTCCTCAAAAGTGTTTGCTTCTGATTACCCCCTCCCCCCAATCTGCCCTCCCTTACTCAACCCCATCCGCTTTCCCCTATTTTCCTATAGGGTAAGATAGATTTCCATGCCCAGTTAAGCATATTATTCCCTCCTTAAGTCAATTCTGATGAGAGTAAGCTTCACTCATTCTCTCTCCCCTCCCCCCTGTGTTTCCCTCCACTGTAAAAGCTTTTTCTTGTCTCTTTTATGTGAGATAATTTACCACATTCTATCTCTCCCTTTCTCCTTCTCCCAGTACATTCCTCTCTCACCCCTTAATTTTGTTTTTTAGATATAGTCCCTTCGTATTCAATTCACCTTGTGCCCTCTGTCTATATATATATATATATATATATATCTATCTATATATATATCTATATCTATATATATATATATATATATATATATTCCCTCCAACTACCCTAATAATGAGAAAGGTCTCATGAGTTACAAATGTCATCTTTCCATGTAGTAATGTAACCAGTTTAACTTTAATAAATACCTTATGATTCCTCTTTCCTGTTGACCTTTTCATTCTTTTCAAGTCTTTTATTTGAAAGTTAGTTTTTCTATTTAGCTCTGTTTTTTTCCCTCCAGAATGCATTACATTCCTCTATGTCATTGAATATCAATTTTTCCCCCTCATGGATTATACTCAGTTTTGCTGGGTAGGTGATTCTTGGTTGTAATCCTAGCTCCTTTGACCTCTGGAATATCATATTCCAAGCCCTCTGATCCCTTAATGTAGAAGCTGCTAAATCTTGTGTTATCCTGATTGTGGTTCCACAATACTTGAATTGTTTCCTTCTGACTACTTGCAATATTTCCTCCTTGACCTGGAAACTCTGGAATTTGACTATAATATTCCTGGGAGTTTTCCTTTTGGGATCTCTTTCAGGAGATGATTGGTGGATTCTTTCAGTTTCTATTTTACCCTCTGTTTCTAGAATATCATGGTAGTCTTCCTTGATAATTTCTTGAAAGATGAACTCTAGGATCTTTTTTTGATCATGGCTCCATAGTCCATAGTCCAATAATTTTAAAATAATTTAAAATTTAAAATAATTTAAAAATTATCTCTCCTGGATCTATTTTCCAGGTCAGTTGTTTTTCCAATGAGATATTTCACATGGTCTTCTATTTTTTTTTTTCACTTTTTTGGTTCTGTTTTTTAATTTCTTGATTTTTCATAAAATCATTAGTTTCCATTTGCTCCAATCTAATTTTTAAGGAATTATTTTCTTCAGTGAGCTTTTGGATCTCCTTTTCCATTTGGCCAATTCTGATTTTTAAGGTGTTCTTCTCCTCGTTGGCTTTTTGGACCTCTTTTGACATTTGGTCTAGGCTATTTTTTAAGGTGTTATTTTCTTCAGTATTTTTTTGGGTCTCCTTTACTTTAGCAAGCCATTGGACTAGTTTTTCATGATTTTCTAGCATCATTCTCATTTCTCTTTCCAATTTTTCCTCTACTTCTCTTTTTGCTTTTCAAAATCCTTTTTGAGCTCTTCCATGGCCTGAGACCAATTCATATTTTTCTTGGAGGCTTTGGATGTAGGAGCTTTGACTTTGTTGTCTTCTTCTGAGTGTATATTTTGATCTTCCTTGTCACCAAAATAAGTTTCTATAGTGAGTTTTTTTTCCATTGTCTGGTCATTTTCCCAGCCAATTACTTGACTTTTTGACTCTTTGTTAAGACAGGGCTCTGCTTCCAGTGTGGAGAATGTACTGTCCCAAGCTTTAGGGGTATTTTGCAGCTGTTTTCAGAGATACTTTCAGAGATACTTTTAAGTTTTCAGTTCTATCAAGGTGGTATGATCTAAGGAGAGGTGTTTACCCCTCTCTTGGCCTATGCTCTGGTCTGTGAGTGACCACAAGCACTCTTTTCTGCCCTGGAACTATGAGGAGTATTCCTCTTCACTACTGCCACAAGCTCTGCTATGCCAGGGCTCCTCCTTGTCCCAGGACTGCCACCTAGGATTGGGACCCAGATCCAAGCATGGGCAAAGCAAGAGAATACTGCCTCAGTCCCAGCAAAGAGACCCCTGTACTCTCCTTCTGACCAGTTGTTCAACCTCCCCCTCCCCCTCTGTGGGCTGAGAGCTGCAGACGCAGCCACTGTCATTTCCACTGCCACTGTCCAAGCACTTATTTTAAAAAAATATTTAATTTTAATTTTCAGTTCCAAATTTTTCCCATCCTCCATCCTCTCCCCCAACTATTGAGAAACTAAGAAAGATGATATCCATTATACATATAAAATCATGGGAAACATTTTCACATTAGCCATGTTGGGGGAAAAAGGCAAGAAAAATAAAGAAAGTTTAAAAAATGTTTCAATCTGCATTCAGATTCACTAGTTCTCTCTCTGGAAGTGAATACAAACACATTTATTAAGCACCATCTGAGTAAAATTCAACAAAGGTAGCCTGAGGCACATTTTCTCTGAGCAAGGTAACATTTATTAATAGGGGTACAACTTGTCAATAGAATGGATCTGCCTCAGTTAGCCAAGGACCCCAAGATGACTAATTTTTATAAGGTTAGAACAAAGACCAGAAAAGGGTAGGTGATATCATAGGGTTGAGGGCAACATAATTGGTTACTTAGCTGTGGTGAGGGACAATCTGTGGTGTGGAAGTAAGGAATGAGAGACTAGCAACAACCCCCTCCTTACCCCTCGTGATTAAGAAACATTCACTGTTTGAGTCCAGCCTACAAGGTCAGAGATAGTGGCCCAGGCTTCTTTGGATAGCAAATCAGACATCCTCGAAGGATAGCTTGGTGACATAAAGATACTAGACCAGATTCCATGGGATCCACCTGCATTTCTCGAGGATAGTAGATTTCTTTGAGGCAAGAATAGAACTTAGCAGGACAATTGGATTTCAAAACTTAACTCCTTACAATCCAACTGAATTTTTGAACTAAGCTCAGAGACAAAGAACCATGATTTAGGCAGTTACAGGAGAAAATCAATTAGTTATAAACAGGATCAATAAAAATGATAAAAAATCAATTGAATCTTCTCAGCACCTACTATATGCCAGCTATTGTACTAAGTATTGGATAATCATAACTATCATTTATATAGCGTTTTAAGGTTTGCAAAGCACTTTGCAAATATCTCATTTTATTCTCACAACAACCCTGGGAGGTAGGTGCTTTTATTATCCCTATTTTACAGATGAGGAAACTGAGGTAGATTGAGGTTAAATGACTTGCCCAGGGTCACACAGTTGGTATCTAAAACTGTATTTTAGTTCAGGTCTCGCTGACTCCAAGTTCAGCATTCTACCACTGTTCCATTTAGCTGCCCTTTGCAGGGTGTTTTGCAGAGGATTTTTTTTTCAGGCATAGGATAGACTGGAGGTAGGCTACATTAAAAAGAGGGGCTAAGAGTGACATCATGTCACCCTTGAATAGAGAATCTCATCTCTATACCCAGACCACCCCCAGCTTTGGACAATCTAGTCAAAGAATTTATCCTTACCCAAACCTGAGTAGAACACAATGGGCTTCCCCACCTTAGATTAAATTCCTTGTAAGGTTGGATGCTGTATGACCAAGATTGAGAGGAGTTAATTCAATCTCATTACTATCATGTACTATCTCCCCAAATTATTGGTTATTAATAATCATTTCTCTCAGTTTCTAACCTGGATCCTGGAAGAAATGTAGACCTAATGGAAGTGGTGTAGTTGGGAGGGAATGTCAATTTATAGGGTGGAGACAAGGGTGAATTCAGTATTATACATGTTAAGTTTGAGGAAATGGCAGGATGTCCCAGTGGAAAGTTCTGTAGGTAAATAAGAATAAAGCAATGAGGCAGAAAGATGAGGACTGGGGACTTAATTTTAGAGTCACCCACATAGAGGTGACAATTGAAAGCATAAGTGGACTTCATGGGAAGTGAATAAGGAAAGAAAAATATAGAGACAGACAGACAGACCCTTGAAGGATGCTCATAGACAAGAAAATAGGAAATAATGATTATCATGTTCCTAGACACAGGTAAGGCAGGAATGTAAAGATGGAAGAACTATCTAGAATAGGGAGCAACAAATTATATTTTAGTAGAGCTAAGTAATACTCCTAGTTATCTGATGTATCACTGAAAGACCTAAGACATAGGTAGGAGAGGAGAAAAGGAGGAAAGGGACAGGAAAGATAAAAGTAGTGAGAAGGGACTGAGAGAAAAGCAAGAAAAAGGGAAAAAAGTGGTGTATATGATGATGAGTAGTAGAAATTCATCAGAAGTTGCCTTAGGCCCTACCCACTGGCACTTGGGCCATAAGTTACTTATCCCTGACCTACACCATGGCCAAAATATTTCTACTTCATCTTTGATTTTAGAATTTGTGTTAGTAGAAATCATTTCTGAATGGGCAAGTGCTCCTCCATGGGTAACCCAAATGGTGATGCTGAATGTAGATGTACTGTATTGATTATGAATGGGGCTGAGAAGATTCAAGACTCAGAAACTTATTGATGGGAAGATGCCAGCAAGAGCCATGGAGGCTGGTTACCAGTAACCTTTTTGTGAGCAAATGACTGCCTGTTGGTGAATTAGAAGTAACTGGGTAGAGAATCCTTTAAAAAAAATCTCATTAATTAAAATCACAATTGCTAACAATTTATGTAGGATTTTAAGGATAGCTAACCTCTTTTCACATATTACCTTATTTGATCTCCAGAGTAGAGCATGGCACTTAGGTATTTTTGCAATTGGAAAGCCCCCATGTGAATGTTTTGCTGGTTTGAATCCACTATTTCAAGTCACTGCTTAATGCTACTTTTGTTTACATGGGGTTATGCTTAAGTTCCTTCTAAGAGAGGGGCTTAATTCATGGAGAATTCTGGAATCTCAACCTATTTCTCTTGTCACTTTTCCCTACTCAACTTCCCTTCTTGGTTCCTTTGGTCTTCCTTCCCAATTCTAATATTTCTCCCTTCCTCTTGCAGCGGTTTTCAGGACAGCCCAAGGCTCAGTGCATTGAGAGCCTACTCAAGGCCATCCATTTCCCTCAAGAAGTGTCAGAGGAGATCCAGGCAGCACCTATTTCCCACCACATTCAGATTGCAAATGAGAAGGAACAGGTATCAGACTCTTGTCTTTCTCCCTAGTACACTTCTGCCCCTAATTTGCCTTATCTCCTGTGTAAGAGGGTTGATTATGGAGCCCTTGGTCAATTTGATGAATCTCCCAATCAGCTTGATAAGATCACAAGGCCTTGACTTTTGTTAGATGCATACCTCCCTTACAAGTACATGTGGCCCTACCAGGGGTGAGGAACCTGTGGCCTCGTGGCCATGTATGGCCCTCTAGGTCCTCAAGTGGGACCCTTTGACTGAATCCAAACTTCACAGAACAAATACCCTTAATAAAAGGATTTGTTCAGTCAAAAGGCTGGACCCAAGGACCTAGAAGGCCACATGTGACCTTGAGGCCAAAGGTTCCCCACCCCTGCAGCCGTTTGCTGAGAGGACATAGGGACTAGTGACTGTATGTGTATGTGTGTGTAAATAAACTCTTGTCTTTTTCTGAAATCTGTAAGAGAGAGCTATGAAATGTCTCCCCCCTGCCCTTTTCTTTTCCTTTTGCATTCTTTCCCATGGACTTCCAGACCAAAGAGCAGCAAGGGAAAGGGGGAGGAGGGGATTTTTCCTTCTTCTTGCTCACTTGGAAGTGGAAAATGTCCCAGGAGAAGTACATGGCTATTGGCCTATGTTGCCCAGGCAAGCTTGTGAAGAGAGCTCTGGGCTGCCTTCTGCCTTTCTGTTTCCTTTTTTTTAAAATTAATTTATTTTGATTTATCAACAATCACTTCCATAAGCTTTTGAGTTTTAAATTTTTCTCCCCCTCCTTCCCCCTCCCTCTCCCCAAGAGAGAGCACAATATGATATAGGCTATTTACTTTTTGAAGGACACTATAGTTCCAGAGAATGAACTTTCCTTTCCTGGAGGGGAAGAGATCACCTCTCATGCATCCCCTTTCCTTCCCCCTAACCAAGCCACAATCTGGTTTGGCAATCCAAGGGAGTGAGAATGCAGAAGGAGAAGAAAAGGGAGAGAGCCATTTTATAGCTTGCTCTTGTAGACTACAGGGAAAGGCAGGAGTTCACCTACTCAATCCCCACTCTCAGATGCTAGCCTTCCTGGAGGCAGCCCCATTCTCTAGGGGCTAATCAGAAGAGTTCTCAGCATGGGATCACTCATGCATTTGTACCTCCGTGGAAGGGTATTATTTCCATAAAGATCCATGCCCTGTAAGTCTCAACCCATTGTTTGGGGCTACTCATCAGATGGATCTAATTAAACTCCTATTAAATTAGTTTTTATTATTTACTGTATCTGGTAGCTACTACCAGTGTTATCTTGCTTCCCGACTTGCTGTTCCCAAGCCCACCATCATCCTCTGGTTTTTGATCCTCCTGGTGAACCCCTGGACTGTATCTTCTCAAATCTCAGACTTTTGCTCCTCTTCCCCACAGGTGATCCCCATCGCACTACTGACCCTCCTCTTTGGATATTCCATCCCTGAGGCTGAGGCCCAGCTTGCTGCTGCCCCCTCCGTCTGTGGGGCCATCAGGAATGCTCTTCTCCGGGTTGGTCGGAAGCGCAGTGCTGACTCAATTGATACGCTCAAGTCTACCGTTGGCTAGTTCAGCAGATGAGAAGGGAACCTAGTTTATGAAGTGGGGGAATATCACACAAGGAGTGGAAAAGAGAGCAAAATACCTTAAAGTTTGGAGTGACAGAGCCCCTGGAGGGAGGTACTTCTAGGTGTGTCCCACCTCATATTTGGGAGAAATGTCTCTTCTGTTACTCCCCTTGGTTCCCTTCTCTGGAAAATGTGGCAGTTGGGCTGGAATCTGGCTCAATCATCTAGCTGCTAGGTGATCTTTGCTTTTTATGCTCTAGCTCTCCAATTCTGTGACGTTGTGACCAGGAAATTCCTGACCACTTAATATGTGTGCCTGATCTTTGCAGTCCATTCTTATTTCAGAAATGAAACTTCTGCTTTTTGTCTCATCAACTTCTCTCTGAGAATCCAGATGGGGAGAATTGGAGGTAGGGAGGAGGGGTAGCAAGGTTGGTCTTAGAAATTATGGCATCTAGTTTTAAAAACGAATATAAAAGATGTTTTTACATGTAACTGTACTAAATAAAAAAGTTAAGAGCCAAAAAAAAAGAAAGAAAAAAAGAAATTATGGCATCTAGGGCAAAACAAATTAGCCTATTATAAGTAAGTGAGGAAACCCTTATATATGCTACCTAATGGTTTAACTTTTTGTTTCCTAGTGGTGTAGTGGATAGAGCCTGGACTTTGAATCAGGTGGACCAGAGTTCAAATACTACCTTAGACACTTAACACCTGTTTGACCCTGACTTATTACCTCTCTTATGTTCACTTTTTCCATCTGGAAAAATTAACATCTGTAATAGTCTATTGTGAAGATCAAATGACATATGTACAAAGTGCTTTGTAAACCTTCAAGTGCTATATAAGTATTAGTTTATTATTATTATTCCTTTTTAAGAGAGAACAAACCACTCAGGCCCACTTACTTACACCCAGCCCTCCCTCTTACTCCACCCTAAACATAGATACCAAACAATGGTTATTAACCGCAAATTATAAGAGATTCAACAATCAGTATTAAGTGTTAGTGGAACGAAAGGACACAAAAATGGAACCACGCCAAGATCCTAAATCCCACTGGTTATCCTCCTGGAGCTTAAAGCTATAGTAAGACCTAAAAGGTTGACTTACATTATTTACAGAGGTGCTTTCATTATGACTTCAAGTAGCTTTACAAGTATGGGCAGCTAGGTGGGGTGGTGCAGTGTATAGAGCACTGGACTTGGAGTCAAGAAGACCGGAGTGCAAATTTGACCTCAGACACTTACTAGCTGAGTGATTCTGTGCAAGTCACTTAGCCCTGTTTGACTCAGTTTCCTCATCTGTAAAATGAGCTGGAGAAGGAAATGGCAAAGTACTCCAGGATCTTTGCCAAGAAAACCCCTCATGGGGTCACTAACAGTTGGATACAACTGAAATGCCTGAACAATAACAAAGAATTACAACTGCTATATTTCTACTCTTAGAACCATCTTTAGTATGGTAAGTATGTTCTGATTTTCTCTCCTAGAACCAGATTGGCTATATCTCTTTCTTGGGGCCCAGTGTCTCTTCTCTAGTATAATTTGTCCACTGCCATTGTACCCTACCAGCTGTGTTCCCTCTATTAACAGGGGCCAATGACCAACCAGCTCCCATTTCCATTTAATCAATTAACATCATCTAGCTTTTATAAATTATATTTATTTTAAAGGATATAGCAACAACCAAGTACAAATATCCCCCCCCCCCACCTCAATCTCCATCCTGTAGATGAAGCTAAATTAGTTGACCTTGGTGTTTTATACTGGTGTTGGTGGTGAGAAGAATTGACATAGGTCCCTCCAATAAGGGTTTCAATGACGACTTTTGTTGCTATATTTCCACTTGGACCACTCATCAGGTTGGACAGAATATGATTCTTCTAGTTCTTTAGTCAAGGCAGCGTGAACCTGCATATGGAAAACTTTGACACATTTCATTAGCGACTCACAAGAACTCAAGACACCATTATCAATCAGTTGTAGGTCAGATAATTGGCTGCAGATAATTAAAATCTCAGGTAGACAAAGTCCAATTTTTCCTGAAGGCAAAGGAGATCACAACTATGAAGGTTATGGGTATAACATCTGGCCATTTAAAATAGTACAAATTTTAGTTTTTTTAATAAATTCCATTTCATCATTCTACAGCTCCTGTAGACTCAGGGTGATAGGGGCAATGAAAATATTGAATCTACTGCTCCTTTAGCATCTATCCTGAATGTTTGTCATCTGTATCACATTTGATAATCAAAGGGATATCAAATATAGAGATGAATTCTTATAAGAATCTTGAGACTGTATCTGCTGCTTACAAAAATAGGTTTCCACCCATGCTGAAAACATACATGTCACAACAAATAATACATACTTTAAAAAATAACATTTCAACATTTGAATAAAACCAACCTATATTATTTCTAAAGTTCCCATGATGGTTGAGTTAGCTTCTTCCCCTTTGTTGGCTTTCCCATATATAGGCTTTGCAACTGGAACAGCTGGAAAACATTGGTGAGCCAAAGAAGAATTTTTTTTTTTTACTGCACTATAGTATGAAATGATGGAAAAGATGGAGTTTCACAGAAACCTGGGAGGACTTGTATGAAGTGGTACAGAGTGAATTAAGCAGAACCAGGAGAACAGTTTATACTATTAACAAGGGAAGTCAGGAGAAAGGTTAGGACTGGATAGTAGACCTGAGAATCATAAGCACAGAGATGATAATTTTATCTATGGGAGCTGAGATCACCAAGTGAAATAACATAGAGGGGTAAGAGAAGAGAGTTCAGGACAGAGACTCTGAGCACAGCAATGATCAATCATGGTTCCAGAGGACTGGTAATGATGAATGATGAGAGATGATAGACTAAATATGCAAAATGAAACACATTTTTGGATGGACAATATGAACATTTGTTTTGCTTGACTATGCATGTTTATTACAAGAGTTTGGTTGTTTTTGTTTCATTTTTCTAACAGAACAGAGGAGGAAAGAGAAAAAATAAATACCTGATGATTAGAAAAAATAAAATTTAGCAAACAAAAAAAACACAAAAAGAATGATACAGCAAATTAACAAAATAAAAAAGGCAAAGGCAAAGTAAAAAACAGAAAAAAATTTTACAAAGATGATAAGATCTATTATATACAGACATATGCCAACAAAGCTGAGCATTCAAAAAAATAGAAGATTATCTAAAAAATATAAACTAGTCAAATTAACAAAACACCAAAGAATGACATTAAATAATCCATCTTCAGAAAAGGCAATTGAATAAGCTATAAATAAACTACAAAAGGGAAAAAAAAACTATTTCCTGATCCAGATGGATTTACAGGAGAATGCTATCAGACTTTTAAAAAACAATATCTATGCTACTCAAATTATTCTGAAAAAGTATGAAAGAAAGCACTCTATCATTCTCATTTTATGAGACGAATATAAACCTAATACCTAAACTAGAGAAAGATAAAGCAAAGAAAAAGAACTGTAGACCAATATTGCTAATAAATATCAATTCAATAATTATAAATGAAATCCTGGCAAAAAAGTTATATCAATGTATCCAAAAAATCAATCACTATGATCAAATTGGAATTGTATCAGGATACAAGGATGGTTCAGCATTAGGAAAACTATTAATATAATTAATCATATGAAAAACCCAAAACAAACACCCAAAACCACACAGTTGCTTCAGTAATATAGAAAAAGCATTCAACAAAGTACAATACTTATTTATGCTTTTAAAAACTCTACAAAGTATAGTCATAGAGGGATTTTTAGTAGGATAATATGTCTATTTAAAGTCAAAAGCTAGTATATATGCAATAGGTAAACACTAGTAGTTTTCTCAGTAAATATAAGCATAAAGAAGGATGCTCCCTTTCCTCCCTGTTCTTTGATATGATTTTAATAATGCTAGCAATAGCAATAATACAAGCTAAATAATTTAAACCATATTCCACAACAAATTTCAAATGGATACATGACCTGATATTAAGACCATACCATAAACAAATTAGAGTTGCAGATTATAAACTTTCCACAGCTACGGGTAGGACATGTATTCTTAACGAAACAAAGGATAGAGACAATTACAAAAAATTAAATAGGGAACTTTGAGTATAATAAATTGAAAAGCCTCTACAAAAACAAAATTAATACATCTAGAATAAAAAGAAAAGCATTTGAATGGAAAAAAATCTTTATGTCAAATTTCTCAGATACAGCATTGGCAGACTTTTAAAGTCCTTCCCAATTTGGTTCCTTCCTGTCTTTCCAGTTTTCTTAGACTTTATTCCCCGTCTACAAATTCTGCAATCCATTGATACTGACCTTCTTGACCCACATGACAATCTTCCTACTCTGTTCCTTGCTGAGGGCTGTCCCCCATACTTAGTATGCTCTCCCTGCTCACCTCTGCCTCCTGGCTTGCTCTATGGCTTAATTCAAATCTCATCTCCTACGAGAGGTCTTTTCCTGGTCAGGCTGGTGCCTTTCCTCTGAGACCATCTCCGATTTCCTCTGTATATGTCTTTTATGTGCATAGTTGTTTGCATGTTGTCTTCCCTATTAGAATATAAACTCTTTGAGGGCAGGGACCGTGTTTTTGCCTTCTTTGTATCCTCAGTGCTTAATACAATGACTAGTGCATAGCAAGCATTTAATTAATGCTTGTTTGCTGATTGGCTAAGAAGTGAAGTAGTCAACTGCAGAAATTTTTTTTTTCAGCAGTATTCTTATTGATTATCCTTCTTATGCTATAACTAAGGAAACCTTTTGTTAACCATTGGGCAATTTATTAAATGTTTCATTTCATTCTAGTATTGTACTGGGCTGAGTCAAGCCCACCTTCTACATCATGTATTTTTCCTTTTTAAACAAATTTGGGTATTCATTTTTGCATTGGAGACCCCTGACTTGGTAGTCCTATTTTAAGGACACTTTTATCTAGGTGGCACAGCTGATGGATAACTGGGCTTGGAATTAGAAAGGTTTATCTTCATGTGTTCAAATCCAGCCTCAGATACTTACTAGCTATGTGACCCTGGGCAAGTCACTTAACTCTGTTTGCCTTAGTTCCTCATCTGTAAAATGAGTTGGGGAAGGAAGTGGCAAGCCACTCCAGTATCTTTTTCAAGAAAACCCCAAATGGGGTCATGAAGAGTCAGGCATGATTGAAAAACAACTGAACAATAATAATTTTATCTAGATTAAAAGCTCCTTCCCTAGGAAATAGTTTAATTGGATCATCTCTGGAATACCAAAAGTAAGGTTTGCGATCATAGTGTCTACATACATAATATGTAGGTGTCCGTTTTTCCTAGGGGTTGGTAAAACTTTTGATCTTTTAGCTTTATCTCAATTTTCATGGAAACGAAAGAAGGGCAAGGTAGTTGCTATGATTCACACAGGCATAACAATTTGGGCCACACACATTAATAAGGAGAACTCAATTCACACTAAAGAGAAAAACACCCTGAAACTATTCCTTCCAAAATTCAATTCACATAGGATGGCTTTATTTAAAAAAAAAAAAGGAAGAAAGGATTCATTTCAACA